AACACTCACGTGGAATTACCTGCAGAGAGCGGAAGTTTGCAGAATATGCGAAAAATGCAGCACCGTTATAGTTCTGTAGTTTCTGTTTACGTTGCCAATAACTCAGACCATGTAGCGTCGAATGGCGGATAAGAAATTGGAAAGACTGTGGGAGGGAGAAGGTGTAGTCTACTTGTCTCAGTATTTGATTTGAGGGGCTGAGGAAGATCATGAACACCCTCAGTCAGGATAATGAGCGGCCTAGCCGAAATTTGAACAGGATGCCTCCAGAACAAAAGCCATAATGGCTCCCATTTGGGCCAACTTGCTCGGGGTCAGACGTAAAACTTATAATTTTCGCTGTGCATTAGCAAAGTGCCGGACCACTTCTGTGGTCTAGTGGTCAGGATTCCTGGCTACAGATTCAGAGGTCCCGGGTTAGATTCCTTGCGCTACCAGAGTTTATGAGAAGTAGTGGGTCTGGAACGTGGTCTACTCAGCCTCGTGAGGATAACTGAGGAGCTATTTCAAGGAAATAGCGGCTCCGGTCTAGAAAACTTAGTTTAATGGCCACGGGGATCCGTCGCGCTGACCACGCGACACCTTCTATCCGCAAAAGTTTGCACTAACTTCTCCGACAAGCGGCGGTCGCTCGGTCGGTATATTTCACTTGTGGACTACAGGCCACGGAGTTTTTTTATTAGCAAAGTACCATTGAGGTGAATATGGACAGTGGTGGTAACTCCAACTCATGGATCTCAGTATAGATTGCTTAAAGAACAAGCTGTACTGTAGCCGGAGAAAGAGCCCTGGGACTGGATGGGCCCCCAGCTGGTCTGGTCACAGTGGCAAAGTCACAACAACATCCCCATAACAGGAATCGAATTCTGGTCACCCAGCCCGCAAGCAGCCACTCTACTGAGTTGTCCCGGCTCATCTCTCAAAGCGAGCCTTTGGTAAACGGGGGGGGGGGCTAAAAGTTTCTGGGCGTTCGTTGTTTTGTACTCTGAACTGCAATTACAAGGTTCCCCACAAGACGATGGGAGTTAGAAACAATAGAAGTGGTCATTAGGTTCAACTCAAGGTGAGGCCTCTTACACACATCTCTCACTTCTGAAACTTGAGACGCTAAATGATAAATGATTTGCCTGGTGAGCGGTGTGATCCGAATTACTTCGCCTTACATGTGATAACATTAAAAGAGGAAAACCAAGCACTCGCAAAGCTTACAGTTATATAATATGATTTCAAGGCCTAGGAATAAATTACGCATTCTATATTCGCCACTTTGTCTAATGTTTCCCCCTCCACCGTCCTATTATGACCTCAGTAGTTAATACAAAGAGAGAAAGAGACAGAAATTGTGCCCAAGTACACTATAAAAAATACTGATAAAACATGCAAATGTACAATATAAATTGAATGGTTTTCACTTTCTTGAAAAATATTGCATAATGCTAAAACGAGAACATCGAAAACGTTCCACAGATTCAGTTACAAGAGGGAGTCATATTAATGTGGATAAAAAATGTTCAAAATAGGTGGGCTATTCGGAAAGTAACTTCCGGCGAGCTGTTAACAAAACAAGCAATGAGAAAAAAATACGTACATACTTAAGCTACTTCTCAACGTAGTCACCACCGGAATTGAGGTGCTTGTATCTGCGAATAAATTTTTGTATGCCTTTGTCAAAGATGACTGCCGCCTGTGAGCTCAGCCACGTTTTGACACCTTCCATCAACTCCGCATTATTGTCGAAACGCTGTGATCGCAACCAGATCTTTAGGTAGGTAAACGGGTGGTAGTCGCCCAAGGCTGTAAGCAGGGTAGTCAAACAACTCCCAGGTGAAATGCTCCAGCAGTGTTCGAGTGAGAGCAGCTCTACACTGAAGCACATCGTCACGGAGGAGCACTACAACGGATGTCAGCATTCCACGACTTTTGTTCTGAAGGCCGGCCTTAAGCAGTTTTTTTTTTACTGTTTCGCAATACACTCTCACGTTATTTTGGTCCTTTGTTGCATGAATTCCACCATCAGCACTCCTTCCCTGTCCCAGAAAAGTTGTCATTACCTTTCAGGCAGGCAGACAAAGTTCTTTTAAACTTTTTCGGCTCGTCTGGTAAATGTGTATGCATCCACTGCTTTAACTGCTCTTTCCTTTCAGCATTCACAAATGAAACCCAGGTTTCATCACCTGTTACTCGTACGATGTGACTGAGAAATTCATCGCCATCTTTGTGGTGTCGCTCTAAAAGAGTCAAAGCCGAAGCTATTCTCTGCGTTTTGTGTGCACCCGTGAGCATTTTCGGAATGCATCTCGCGCAAAACATGTGACAGCCTAGCTTAACTCTGACAATCTCGTAAGAAGAGTGCGTGAAATTTGTGGAAATTCACACGAAGTTCTGTAATTGTGATGCTTTGTCTTCACTTATCTTTTGGTCAGCACTTTGAACAATAGATGGGCGGCCAACCACTTCGCTCTCCACCGTGAAAATTTGTTCGCCCATATTTGAACATTCCACACAATTGGCTTGCAGTTCCTTCACTCATGACATTTTGGCCGTAAACCGCTGCACACAATTCACGATGCATTTCGGCAGCATTCGTGTTTTTAGCTTGAAGAAAAGGGACAGCATCGCGAATTTCGCTGCTGGCGAGATTACCAACCGCATAACTCACTCTGTACGACAAAACCCAACAATAAGTGACCATTTATGTGATGGCAATGATTCACGTGGCGCTACCTCGTTTGCGCGTGCTCTACCCCTCCCTATATTAGTTGCCTAAAATAAACGGTGGTTACTTTCCGACTAGGCCTCGTAAATTTGTTGACAGTTGTCCTTATTTAAACGTGAAATAACATTGCAAAGGTACAGAGGTATTTACTGATGTATCGCATTAAATAAGAGGGCATGCGGTAGCGTAGTTGGTTGAGGCACTATGCTACAAGAAGGAAGGTTGCGGGTTCGATTCCCGATTATATCATTAGATATTTCAATTGACCTAATCCTTCAAGCCGCACTATGGCCCTGGGTTCGACTCAGCCTCTAACAGAAATAAGTACCAGAAATCTTCTTAGGGGTAAAGGGCGGCCGGCGCATAACGCTGACAATCTCACCGTCCTTTGTGAGCCGATTGTCTAGAAAATATGGGAGCCTCGACGTGTCACAGCCCTATGGGCCTCCACGGCCTGCTATAGGGATAGCTTTACCTCCTTATCACTTTAAATAATGAATTTATATGTAATATCATATTTATCCTTTCGGAAGGGCAAAGCTAATAGTCTCTGAGCTTGTCCAGAAATTTTCCACATTTTATGGAACCCTAAAGTGCCTTGTCGTGTTCACATAAGCCTGCGACTTGACCGTGTCATAAGCCAGATGGATCCGGTCCCTGTCTTTAAGACGAAATTTTAATATTATCTTCTTTTATACGTATATATCTCTGGAGTGGACATTTGCCTTCCATTTCTGTGGCAATTCCGGTAGGCATTTCTCATTCTCTTTTTACGTGCTACGTGTCCCTTGTATCTCGCCATCCTTGATTTTATTTATAACTCCAACAGTATTTGAAGAGCAAAAATTATGAAGGTCCTCATTATGTAATTATCTCCATTGTACTTTCTGTCCTCAGGACACTGTTCCCAACACAAACTCAGAATCTATGTTTTTTCCTTAAGGCGAGAAAATCTGTTATACAACCATATAGAACGAGTAAAATTATATTTTTTTTATATTTTGATTTTTTGTGCCTTTCCTTCTTTGACAGAAGACAGAAAGGCAAACATTTCCAAAACAGTAGAAATGAATTACTAAAATACGTTATATGTAACCCACATCTGCGCATCCACGTATAAGTCTTATACATGTATCAAGAACAGGCATTCTGAAATTAAATAATTACATCGGGTACAAATGTGACAGTAGAAGAAAACCTTGCACTTGGGAGGAACCCGGTTCGGTCCGAAGGTCGGCCTAATCTGACAAGCTGCTACGCAGTCACATGCTTTGAAGTTATATAACTAACTTATTTACTCCATTAAGCAGATGCCTTTTTGAGATGTTGATAGTTCTTCAGCCAATCAAGATATTCCTCGCCTTTTAAGGAACATGACAGTCTATTATTGAGTTCATAACAGCCAACCACTGAACCCCATCCTGAGCCAGTTGACTCTCACACCTTACATCTAGAAAGTTCATTTTTACCGTCCTCTCATCTACGCCTGGGTCCACTAAGGTATCATTTACATTTTGATACCATTATACAAAACAAACTCCGTGGTTTTAGTCCGCAAGAGAACTATACCGACCGAGAGACCGCCGTTTGTCGGTCAAGTTAGTGCCAACTTTAGCGGATAGAGGGTGTCGCGTAGTCAGCGCAACGAATCCCCACGGCCGTTAATTTCGGTTTTCTACACCGGAGCCGCTAGTTCCTTGAAAATGCTCCTCAATTATCCTCACGAGGCTGTATGGACCCCGTTCCAGACCCACTACTTCTCAGAAAATCTGGTAGCGCCGGGAATGGAAGGCGGAACCTCTGGATCTATGGCCAGGAACTCTGACCAGTAGACCACAGAGGCGGTCTTGATACTAATATAAGCTAGGATACTCATTTTTGACATTGGCTTTTGTAAAAATATTGGTTTGTACATTTCTACCAGAGTACAAGGCGTCACATCCAAGAAATGGGTGGACCATAATCTCTGTATTACACCTGTTTCTTGTTTAGCACATTTCGAATGAAATTTTCATGAGTCTGATCTATTTAAAATCTTATTTGAGAATTATTTTGGTATAGTACCATGAATATTGTATTATATATATAAATATTAAGTTCAATCTTTAACCAACTCCGAATTACTAACGTTAAATTAATTTGTAAAAGGCGTAAAAAAATATTTAACGCTAGCCGCCATAAATTTTTAAAAATTTATAGTGGCAAGGGACACAAGAGTGGGACAGAACTCACATTTTGGTACAAACTGTGTACAACCCTGTATTACATGAATAGGGTACAGTACCTTCACGAGCTGACCTGGAATTGTGCTCAGCGTTGCCGGGGCTGTTGTTCCAACCTGTAACAAGAAGCGATTGTTAAGACGCCTAAGAAGAGAGAGATCTGCCCGTTGAAGGCCCACCGAAACGGCTTAACGTTAGGTTACATGTTACGGTGAGTCCCTTATGTGCAGCTAAAATGGTTATGTTGCCTGGTGTAAGTACAGTCTGGTGAAATGAAAAGTTTAGCTTCGGGACCTTCCCGAGTTATTAACACTCACGTTTCCTTATTTCGACATTCATGTGCTCACGAATTATTTTTTTCAAAGGTTCGTATTACTTTCCTTTATTATTATTATTATTATTATTATTATTATTATTATTATTATTATTATTATTATTATTATTATCATCATTATTATTTTGAGCCGGAATAGTGTCGTCGGTATAGCGACTGGCTAAGGGCCGGACGGCTGAGGGGTCGAAGTTCGATTCCCGGTAGGGGCAATATTTTTCTCCCATCCATGTCGTCCAGATCGATCCTAGGTCCCACCTAGCCTCATATCCAATATGTATCGGAGACTCCTTCGCCGGGGGTAAGGCGGCCAGGGCGTGAAGTTGACCAGTCACCAACTAGTGCCGAGATAAAGAATACGTGGATTTATACATCCACCTACTCCCCCATAATTTCGGGTTTCTACACCGGAGCCGCTAGTTCCTTGAAAAAGCTCCTCAGTTATCCTCACGAGGCTGAGTGGATCCTGTTCCAGACCCACCACTTCTCAGAAAATCTGAGATTTGTAGCCAGGAATGGCCCTGGAACGAACAAAAATTTGGTGATGGGTCCCAACGGGGCCTGAAATCTAGAACAACTATTCTGGGGAGAGAGAACAGCAATTTACTGATATATTATGCTATGCTGGTCCTTACAAGAACTTTCTTTAAGGTTCCTGTTAATATTGACCTCCCATTTACAGTATTTCGTACTTTGTATGACGTGACTGATCAGCTGCGCTGCTTCGTTATCGTGTATAATGTTTGACAGTGTAAATAAATCAATTCTGGACATGAACACGCGATGAGACATCGCGTGAAGCTCCACATCCGAAGCTTCAGCAGGATCCGCAGATATGATCTACGCATTCTCTCCTCTTCCACGCCAACTCATGGGAGCGCTATTGTTCCTGTGTGACTCACGCCTATAGTGAGCCACGTGCTCTCTCAAATTGCGTTCAGCAAGGCTAAGCAAATCGAACCGTGCCCGAGGCTGGAGCAATAGAAAGTTGTTGCGCTCGGTGTCAAATAGCAGGAAAGAATGGCACTTATTGTTCAGTCCCTGCTCGTTGTTGTTTGTTATTCTTTCTTTTGGGCGATGACGATTACAAAAAAAAAAAAAAAATCTTCTGGGATATAAGGTTGTGTAGTTCGTTGAAGGTCAACCGATGTTTCGGAGGAAATATCGCCTCCATCTTCAGGGTTGAAGAATAAGCCGAGCAAGAAACCAGCGTGCAATCAGGTGGCCAGCAGAGCTGGTTCACTTTCAACGGACTACACGGCGTTATATCCCAGAAGATAGAACTCTTCATGACCACCGGTGTCAGAACCCCAGATCCTACAACGATGAATGCAATCAGACACTTGGGAAGGTGTCGGAATATCTATGGTTGGTGTGTAAGGAGCACTGGGGAATGGCACAGAAATTAGCCTAAAAAAAAGACGAACACAAGAAAAGCTCATATTAGACAGCCATGCGACTCTTCTTCTTGCGAACGGACGTTAAATTGACGGTGATCTGGCAAAAACTGCGGAAAATCAGTCATGTAAGGATTATCTAATAACACTGTGGTGTAATATTCTTGAAATGTAAGAGTCAGTAAAGGTAAAAAAAAAGTAAAGTTATCCCTGTAACAGGCCGTGGAAGCCCATAGGATTGCGAGACGTCAAGGCCTCCACATTTTCTACACAATCGGCTCACAGATGGCGGTGGGGTTGTCAGCCTTACGCACCGGCAGCCCTTTACGTCCAGGAAGATTCCTCGTACTCATTTCTGTTAGAGACTGATTCGAACCCAGGTCCGTAGTTCGGCCTGTTCTCAAACTGGATCCTATAATGAGCCAGTTTCACATCCTGCTTCTCTACGATCCATTCTAATATTATCCACTACCTACATCTACTACATGACCTCTTACTTTAATGTTTCCTGACAAATAATTGTACATACATTTTTTTTTTCCTTATGCGTGGTAAGTCCGGCCCTTTCATCGGCCACCCTAACAAGATTTGTTGAAGAGTACAGATTATGTAGCTCCACATTATGCAGTTTCGTACACCCCTCCTATTACTTACTTCCTTTCAGATAAAAATATTTCCTTTCGTGCTTTGTTCTCAAACACCCTTGGCCTAAACTGTTAATTAAGGTTACACAAAAAGTAAAAATGTATTTTTCAGACTGACTGTACACGAAGGAGATTCGTGGGGAGGAAGCCAAAAGACAGTGCAGCACACTATACGGTCAACAGCTGGGTGGGGGGGNGGGGGGGGACAGGCTTCATGTGTAATGTCCAGGAAGAAACCGGGACCTCCCACGAGGATATAATCCTCAGGGTCTGGAATAATCAGTAGTTCTTGTCTGGCAGCAAGGAAGGCCCCTCGCAGTACCGGCAACACTTTCGAGTCCGGACCCCAGGGTCAGCACAACTCTATGGGAATATAATACAGTCATATTCAAGAACACCTTCTCGTGTCTGACAACATACTCCCTGTATTTTAACATCGTAAGAATTCTGTTTCTTTGGATATAACGGCGTGTAGTCCTGTGGAAGTCAACACACATTTCAGTGGACAATATCGCCTCCACCTTCAGGGTTGAAGACGAAGTCAAGCAAGTAACGCGAATGCAGCAGGCAGTAAGCCTTATATCTCAGAAGAAAAAAAACTCTCACTCACTCACGGAGCTAAACCCTTCTTGCGAAACCGCCAATTGTGCAGCTACTCAAGAACGTCACAGCATTTTATGGATCCCGAAGGTTCATTACCGTGTTCACAAGAGCCCTCCACTGGTCCCTGTCCTAGCCAGATCAGTCTAATGCATACCATCCCATCCTATCTAAAAACTTTTTACTGGAAACAAATTTACGAATATTGCAATGTTCTTTACATTTACTTTAAGCGCCCTAGTAACCAGTATTAAAACAGTTAATTTAAAAATAAGCTGCAGAAATAAGAGAAGCGTTAAGACCCATGGACATTTCCTTTCTTCCGCTCAAAATACTCGAGTTCGTCTTTCAGTTTTACTGTGTGTGTGGGCAAATCCCAGTTTAGTTGCTTTGAAAAACGTTGCTACACAAGAGCCAACTTAATACGTTCTGGATTGTGGAGTTTCTGAATGCGGTGCCTGCAGTTTCCGATGCCAAATGCGTTCCTTCTGCGAAGGCCCTCTGAATGAACACGTGTTGTTAAATTCTGGGCTCTGTCGGTCTTCAGGGTAACCAAACATGCAGGCCACTAGTAGGATGTCACTGAAGAAGAGAGAAAGCTTTAAAAAGGGTTACTGTAGTTTTTTCCTCTTTCGTTTCACAGTCCTCAGAAGGTTGGGTGGATCCCAAAGTCGGTCTGGACGCTTTGAAGAAAAGAAAAATATCTTCCTCTTGCAGGCAATCGAACCCCAGTTCCTAGGTCGTACAGCACACAGCCTAGTGACTATACCGACTGAGCCAACCCGACTCCCTCAACTCGATCGGTACCAATTACAACTGTATTGCATTTTTGATCACCATTGATTCTATGTAGAAGAAAACTCGCAAATGGGTCAGACAAATCCCCATCAATACACCTGATTTAGTCTGTACGGTACCACATAAAATGAATTACAAATTAGAAATAAATGCCCTAAAATTACCACAAAATTTCAACAAATTACTGTGGAAGAAAATGAAGGATTTAATTTCCAAATTAATCTCAGAATGAAGAGAGTTACTTACGAACTAGAAGAGACAAGAATATTTGTTATTTAAAATATCGCTCTAACTGTAATTATCAATCCATTAATCGAGCACATCCCTAATTATCGCGGAGGTAACCTCTCCTTATACTCTACTGTAGTCAAACTAAGGTTCACTGCTGCTGACTTATAAAGTGTTCATAAATAACTCAAGAAATTATTAATGAGCAAGCCAGTCGCTCAGCTATTCAACAATTTCTAATTTTAGTGAATCCAAAGGTTCACTACCGTGTCTACAAGAGCCCCTCGCTGTTTCATATCCTAAGCCAGCCGAATTCAGTCCACATCCATATTCTCTTAAGATCCACCACTGGGCTACCTCAGCGCTACGCCCAGTCTCCGAAGCAGTCTCTTCTTTCAGGATTTCGATCTATAATTTTGTACTTATTTTTATATTTCCCATGCGTGCTACATGTCCAACACATCTCGACCTCCTTGATATAATCGCTGGTCACCTGTACTCCCACTAGAACTAAATTATACTTTTCTGCCGGGGGGCAAGTCAGCCTCGTATCCAATAAGTATCGTAGGCTTTTTCACAGGGTAAAGAGGCAGACTCATGAAACAAACCATTCACTTCGATCTAGTGTCGAGGTTGGCCGTGTCATAGCTAAGGAGGTTAGTCGCCGGCTTCCCACCCCTGGCAGCCGTCTTCGATCCCAGGTCAGGTCATTTGGGGTTTGTGGTGCATCAAGAGTGGCATTGGTGGTAGGTTTTCTCCGAGTATTTCGGTTTCCCCTTCCAACTCTAATTCCGCTGACTGCTCCACACCCATCCTGATCCACCATCCGGGGATGGTACAATAGACCAAATAGTGGACTCACCCTAACCCCACCCAAAGAAATAAAACAATGTAGTGTCGACGTTAAGAATCCGTGGAGCTATCCCTCCCCTTCCCCGTAAGTATTCGTGGTCTAATGCTTAATTACATAATTTAGCAGACCACTCACCTCCATCTATTGTCGAGGTTAAGAATTTGTGGAGCTATACCTCCACTTCCCCATATGCTTTTATGGACTACTGCTTCAGTACACAATTAAGTGCAGGAATAACCTTACTATTACTATACTATTGCTAGTG